CAGGATTAAATTTTAAAACAAAGACAACAACAGCTTTTAAGCAAGGAAGAACCTTAAATAAACGTGATTATAACCAATTGTGGGATGTTGGGTTAAAATTGCGTTGCAATAAGGTTTATAAAGTTTGCATCTGTCTGTTCTTTTCAAAGGGAGGAGAGGAAGAGAGATAGGATGAAATCCGTATGAAAATAGCGAAAGACAACGTTCAGATGTACTGATCAGGTCACTTCACTTCAAACACTGCACAACACTCTGCATTTGAGACCACACAATGTTACGTGCTAACCGATAGCCTTCAATGCTAATAGCTCTACATATGCTTCCATGCAAACTCATTAGCTTCAGTTAGCTTAGCTCATGCTTGGCTATTTGTTTACAAACAGCTCAAAATGGCGCTGGCGGACTGAAAGTTACCCCGGAAAAGGTTTGTTAGAACTTCCGGGCTACGGCGGTTACTATGGCTACGTATCCTGCAATAACACACAGTTGCTGGTTATACACAGTTTACGCTCTTCATGTGGGAATGGCGGCGCATTCCACACTGAACAACCAAAAAGCACTCTTTAGATTCTTATCTTATAGAGCTGTGTAACACTCATTCGCTAGAGTGAGGTAAATTCATGTACAGCTTTACTGCAATTAATTCACTGTCATTGATATCTTCGGCGGATATCAGCACATATTTATACAGACAAAAACACGCGTGGATTTAACCACGATTTCACTTGATCAAGATTTCACAATTCTCCCAAAAGTAAAATAACGTTCAGATACTCTCTCTGAGCACCGCGTTTCAAGTTCACTAGTTTTTCTTTTTTAGTGAATTAAATGGCAAGAGCATTAGTTAGCTAGGTTAATGGTCAAGCCGGGAGATTTATTTATCATAGACGCATTTGGAGGTGGGACATGCACCAACAAATCGAACTATTAAGGCCTTTTTAGAGAAAGTAAATGAGGAAAACGCTCGTTTCTTCCTTCGTGCGCTTTTCTAGAGCGACTTATTTTGTCCCGACAGACAAAATTCAAATGTTTCTACTGCAGTTCAATTCTTTAAAGAACAACTCGAGTTTCACTTCATTCATTCAACACGCTCTGCCACAATAAAGTAGTAACACAACAAACTCAGTTTCTCTATTTTTCATCTATTCTTCCGGATAAAAATAGGGAAAACTCATAATAATATCTTGGTGTCATTAATTTCTCAGTCAAATCTTTGCCAGCTTTCTATCTCCAGGACAGGGAGCTCTTAATCTGTCGCTTTCTGTTTATCGGATTTAGCAATTTATGCATTAGACGGTCATGGGGTCCGGGCGAGTCTGTCGCTGGAACATTTCCAGATACCATGTTCTTCGTTCTGTTGGAATGCAGGATGTGATGGGAATCATGTGTTAGTCACGTATAGATCCCGTGTGGCCTGAGGTTAGTTAATTTACTGTCCTTTTCCTGTTTGGATATAATAGTTACATTCATTGGTGGTCACAAGACATCCCGAGGTATCTATAAGTTGTAGTCCTCATACAAAAGATCTCTGTGGTATCTCTTGATTAGATCAATCCAGACCTCATGATGGCTGATAGGGGCATATCAGTGTCCGTTCATGATAGAAATCCCTACAATCAGTATAGTGAATGGGAAGAATGGCTCAGTGCAGGGACAGACTTGGACAACATTTCAGGCCGGGAAATCTCACACTCATCCAGGCCATCCCATACACCCTAAAAAAATCTAAATTTTCTGTATGGCCATCACATAAAAAATGTTTAAATCCTTAGGCTGGGGACATGCAAAATAATTAAAAGTTCTCTCCTGAACTGCACCTTCACTCCCATTTTCCTTTTCAGTACGGGGTGGTTTCTAGACCTTATTTACGTGGGCTTCAGCACCCCTATCTGTTGTCTCAGCCCCCTTAACTATAATCAGCTATCTGAAGGATTGGTCCAGTGCTGTTTCCTCAAGAAGGTTTTAAGTCTTGTCAGTTTAAACATTGAAGTGATTTAAGCCATTCAAGCCCAAGACAGTGCGAAAGAGATCTCAATGCGGTACTCGCACGTTTCTGTGCGCGCACACACGTGAAGCACACACACACAAAGAAAAAAAAACCAGCACGCAAGTAACGAGTTCATGTCTTCTTGAGCAAATACATACAAAATTATGTCAGAATGGCTGTCTTGACCAGTGTCCAAGTAAACACAGTCGGTAACGTCTTAAGTAAATGTAAACAGTTCAGAAAATTTTGGATGTATGTCAATATGCATTTCTTATGTTAATGTTAATCAAACAACAAAAGAAAAATAGACAATCACTCACTGCTCTTTTCTTAACTAAGTAACTTCTGTAGCTTTGTGTATATTTGCTTCATAGAGTAATAGAGTTTTCATAAGCACTGTTAAGTTTAGGTAATTTGAATCTTTGTATCTAATAGTCTGTCTGAGGGCTCAGCCCCCTGTGGATGAAATACTAGAACCGCCCGTTTCAGTCTCTTCATTTCTCCTGATATTTTCTAAATTGCCTAAATGTCAAATTACAATAACAATTACATTATTATAATATCTTTATAGTAAAATCCTAATACTGATGTTATTGCATTATAATGAGTCATATTTTTCCCTTACGAAAATTAACCATTGTTAATTTTTGTAATGGTTGTGTTGTTGTCTGCCCTAGCTCCTTCTAAACCTATTATAAACAATGTGAATATTTGTCTGCTAAATTACTTCTGTAACATTATGATAGATAATAATGATGTCCTTTAGCAGACAGTGTTTTGAGTGATGAGAAATGGGCTGCTACTGCTAAAAGGTGCTAGCAGTTTAATGCCTGAATAAGTAAACAAAGACAAAACTACAATATCCTATTTACAGATGAAACTGACCTGCACCTGAACAGGTCAGCAGTTTTGCCTCTCTGCTCCACCTGGGCGCTTCCACTCCATTCACAAGTCTCTCACATTGATCACTCTGATCAAAACCATTTGGCAGAAGCGTAGCGTTGCCAGTCACGACTACTATTTCGTGATTTATTGGAGATTTTTTTCCGGAAATAATCACTTTAGTACATTCGGCAGGGAATTATATATATATAT